AAAAAAACTGCTATAGAAAACGAATTGAATGAAAAGAAGCAAAACAAAATTGAATATTTACAGCATGAATCTTAAAAACTAAGTGTTTTTTTCTTAAAGGAAAAATAAAAATATGAAAAACATTGTTAATTAAACATCAAATATCATTTAAAAAAAAGAATAAATTAAAATAAATTAGCAGCCGCTGTTGCTCATACTCGTAAAATTCAAAACTAAAGGCAATGCGCGCCTTTGCTCGACTTATCGCTATTTGCTGATGAAAATTCAAAAAGCACTTCCAAAAAATTAATCGATTGCAGGACATTTGCCTGGCCAATGCTATTCATAGATAAATATCGCATTGCATGCGATTAATTTTATGCAATTTGCAGACGCTTCATCCTAATATCGAAATGCAATCGATAATGTCGATATCTAACGCTTTCCATGCGCACATCTCTGGCTGCCGCGCATAGCTTTGAAGCTTTTTTGGTCCTAACAGTTTGCGTTTGTCTACGCACCGCATTCCATTAGTCCTGTCTGTGATGCTGTAGATGCTGTATCTCAGCACTGTAAACAAATCACGCACGTGCTATAAATAACTGTTAGTACACAGTAGCTCACTCACATATCAATTGAAACAGTGCAACTATTTAATTTTTTTGTCGATTATTAACGAAACAATCACTTGAATTTACGCGCCAAATAACATATCATAATGAAAATGCATTTACACAACTTAAAGTAAATGCCCAAGTCTTAAATGTACAATGCGTAGTCCAGGTAAGTGCTGCTGCTTGAGTCTCCTCTATGAACATAACACAATTAGCTGTGTCTTATTTTTAAACGGACACACACACAGACACGCGCGCACACATGCATACAGATACACAGCTACACCCTCCTACGTATACAGTTACACGTGTAGAGCCTCGCATTCAATGCCAACAACAATTGCAACAAGTAGCCAGCCACACAGCAAATCACACACTCACATATACATACATACATATGTAGACCATATACTAACACGCACAGACATGCGCTGGCTATTTAATTGCGAGCATCCGCATGCACACACACGTGCAATTGGCTTATGACCCATCTACTTATGTATCTTACATGTGTGTGGGTGTATGCTAGCGCCTTGCTACAGTTAAAAGCATTTTGCGCGCAACAATACAATTAAGTCAGGACTGCGTGCCCCCTCCCGGTAATGGCAAATATGCAGCGCCAAAAACTGTGCTACATTTTCGCGAAATTATTTTAAAAATATTTCATTATTGGCTTTTTTTCACACTTTTATTTATTATTATTATTATTATTTTTTTTTTTTTAATTTCCTTAAGGCGTATTAAAGTATTTGAAGACCTACATAGGCTTTAGTTAATATTTATTTTACTTAATGTTTCTCCTTTAAACCCTGCACTCACTCAATATCGGAAATCAGAGTATAACAGTTTTGTTAAAGAAGGAGCCATGGCAGATCCCTTAGGGAAAATCATGTATTCCTGATCATAGCGATAAGCTTAGCTGATTTAGCCTTGTACGTCTGTCCGCTCGTCCGCCTATATGTATGGTGTATGATAATAGATATACATATTTTGTAAACCGGTCACAGTGTAAAGTTACAAGATTTAGGATTTATCATGTGACGAATACAAGGATCCATTCCCCCAGAGTCGATTAGAACATTTTTTTTTTCATACAATATAACAAAATATAAGCCAAATTGTCGTGTTAAAAAGGACAATTATTTCCTAAATTATTTCCTATATTCCTATATTATGTATGATTATTTTTAAATAATTTCTTTAAGTAAAGGGAATTTATACTTTCATTCACTTTTTTCTAGCCGTTCGCTCTAACAGAGCGTTCACTGTAATTGCGTACACATATATTTAATTTGCCTTTTCCCGTCTACCTCCCTCTCTCTCTTCCTCTCACTCATTCATTCTATTTCCATTGTTGCTGCAGCAATCACACGAAGCTCTTTGCTAATTAGTTGCCTTGGAAAAAACATAATTTCACTCAATAAGCTGCATTTGCTTATTGTTTTACTGAAAAGGCAGCTCGAAAAGGCTTTGCCTCATTTTCCTCTGGCATCTTTCTCTTTCTCTCTCTCTCTCTCTCTCCTCCCTCCCTCTCCCTTTCCGTCTGGCGTTTGGTGTTGCTCTAAAAGGTAACACCACACGTCAAAGCACTCGTTCAGTGCGTCTCGCCTTTCCCCTCTCCTGCTTCCTATCACACAGGGCTCATCAGCCGAAGGCCCCTCTCCCTTTACGGTGTCTATATGCTCTAAAAAGGAAAACCCCGTCCCCATCCCCCATCTTTCCCAAAAAACAGTGGTTATCTCTTTCTCTCTCTCTCTCTCTCTCTCTCTCTCTTTGGCGGTGCTATTTTTGAGCCACGGTAAGCTCTCAGCTTCAAAGCCACTTCATCTGTAGTCTAGGCAATCATTATGCGATCCAACATAATCCGCTTTGCATCTGGGCGCCTGGGCGTCTCTGCCACGCCTTCGTTCGAACGCCCTAATTATGGCAAAGCCTTCAATATTTGGAAATACCTTCAGCTTTGAAATTTTTGAATGAACTTGGGTGCGTGCTAAAGCGTAACCTCAACCCACCCACCAACCCTAAGCTGCCAAAACACCTTCGGCACAAGACCGCAACACAGACAAACACACTCTCACACACACATAGAGAACATATTTCCATAAGCATATTCAATCTACATTTGAATATAGACTTCATAAGCCGGTGCTTCAGGCGCAACAGACAGAAAATCAATAAATTGAGATTTAATGAGTTTGCAAATATTTGACAGCAGCTTCCTAACTGTCTACCTCCGTCTCTTCTACCTACCTCTCCACCCGTTAGCCTCTGTCTTTTTCTTTGGGCAAAATTTGACATGAACTTCCGGTGTGTCATTTTTCGTTCCCCTCTACTGCTGACTCTTCGTTCTTGCTCTTTCGCCCTTTCTCTATCTTTCTCTCTCTCACGCCTGATTAACAACAGCTTTCTCTGCTCTCCTCATTTTCCGAAATTGGTGCTTTCAATCAGGCCTGTCCTCTCTGCTTGACAGTTTCCTACCTTGAAGGACCACTTTTCTTCCACTCCTCTACATGGCCGAAACTTTCACCCAACTTCCCCTTCCCGCTCTGCTCTTGCAAAGTTTTATCCGATTTCCAACTAAGATGTTCTTGCGACAGCAACCACTTTGTATGTCTTTTGGTTGACAGGACACTAATCTAATGGCAGTTGGGAGAGCTTATCCATCTTCCTCTCCAGTTAACAGATGTTTTTTTTTTTCCTCTTTGCTCCGCTCGTACCTTCTAGATCTAGCTAAGATTTACCCGAAAGACAAAGAACAGGTGGTCTCTGCTCTTTCTATTTGAAGCAGCATCCGTTCTTTTCCTCAATCGACTTCTCCGCTGATTGTCTTCCTCTTTCTCGTCATTCTTAGTCTCTATCTCGTTCCCATATCTATAATACGTTCTTCCTATATCGTTCTCTGCTTCGCTCTACCTCACCAGGTTTTCTCTTTCTACACCTCTCTCGCTATATTCATCTGTCTTCTGATTTTTCCTTCCTTTCAACTCTCTGCCCATTGTTTTCCTCTCTCCCCTATCTCTCTCTTTCTTTTCGCTATCAATAGCCCCTCTCTTCTCCCCTCACCTTTGTTCTAACTCAATCTTTCTTGTGACAGCAATTTCTTCCAATTTGCTCTCATCAACAGGATGGTGATGGGTGATGGGTTTCTGGGATGGTGAAGGATAGCTGTTGGCAGAATGACGACCGCCAACATTGACTACGACTATTTGCTCAAGTTTCTGGTGCTCGGTGACTCCGGCGTGGGCAAGACCTGCCTGCTCTATCAATATACAGACGGAAGGTTCCACACGCAGTTCATATCGACCGTTGGCATCGACTTTCGGGAGAAGCGGCTGGTGAGAGAGCGACAGCATCCATCTATCGCGTTCCTCCCATCCTCCCCAATCTGATATCTATTTATTTCATCAAAGGTCTACAGCTCACGTGGTAGACGACATCGCATCCACTTGCAGATTTGGGATACGGCCGGACAGGAGCGCTTTCGCTCGCTGACGACGGCTTTCTATCGGGATGCGATGGGCTTTCTACTCATCTTCGATCTGACCAGCCAGAAGTCCTTTCTGGAGATCACCAATTGGCTGGAACAGCTGCGCATGCACGCCTACACAGAAGATCCGGACGTAGTGCTCTGTGGCAACAAATGTGATCTACTGCAGCTGCGCGTCGTCAGCCGGGAGCAGGTCGCCGCTCTGGCTCAACGCTATCGTCTGCCCTACATCGAGACGAGCGCCTGCACCGGAGCCAACATACAGCAGGCGGTTGAGCTGCTCGTTGGCCGTGTTATGGAACGGATAGAGAATGCTGTCTCCAATCGTGACTTCACCCTGCTAATGGCCCAGTCCCGTCGACTACCCAACATCGCCTACGGCCCGGATATAGTTAGACTGCATCAAGCCAATGGGAGTGCCCCCCGACGCAATCGCAACTGCAATTGCTAAACTTATCCGGTTTGCCAGATAGCAATTTGGAATTTTTAACTGGATCCGTTCAATTTTTTGTAATTGCTCGACGAATCCAGAAAGCTGCAATTGCTTGATATATCATCTGGCTATTCAGATAACTTTTGGCCAAACTATGACAAACTTTATTCCGTTAATCCGTTTATCTATGTGTGTTGACTGTAAATAAATGTTGCTTGTTGACTAAAGGCCCCTGCTTTCAGTAATATGTCTGAAAGCCGCGGATGACTTCCAGGCGGCTATCCGGATAGCTACAGCAGCGACTAGGCTATCCGGATGGTTGCCCGCAGCTTTTGGGCCGTCATACATCTATCCGGATATTTAGTGTGCAATCATCTGGTATTTATCCGCAACCAATTAAGCATATAATCAGCTAAAGCTATTTCAATTACAGCTAGAATATAGTTTATTTTCTCCTTAACCATAGCCAAAAGGCACAGCCGAACCACAGCGAGAGCAAGTGCGTCAGACTTGGAGCTGTCAGGGCGGAGTTGCCGTTGCGCTCTTCGATCCATTGATGGTAATACTGAACATCCGCATAGACGCCGGGTAGACCCGCCTCGGCGCAGCCATAGCCCCAAGAGACAACGCCAATCACGCGGCCATCGTAGACCAGGGGTCCGCCGGAGTCGCCTTGGCAGGAGTCCGTCCCACCTTTCAGCTGCCCAGCGCAGAGCATGCCTGGGAGYAGGCTGCCCAAATAGATAGTGGAGCAGGTTTTGTGACGAATCGTGGTCACATTGGCAGTGAGCAGCACATTCGAGAGCGAGCTCTGCAACGGGAGTAAATCGGCTGGATAAATTGCAGGGATGGATAAGTGCTTGGATATCCATTGCCATAATCAATATTCAATATTCAATATCTACTGCATTGAAATATTGAACCAGCTGGTTAAGGCAATCAGCTCACCTGACTGGTGCGTCCCCAGCCGGAGACTTGGCAGGTGACCCCAGAAGGAGTCGGCTCTGTGGCCAGTTGAATGGGCGCCACAGTCGGGTGGCTGCTATTGATGGGGAGGCCGGTGCGCAGAAACATGACGCCCACGTCGTCGCGCATGCTTTCCGTGGTGAAGGTGTTCATGTAGGCAATGGAGCTGACGTCGGACACAATTGTTCCATTGTTGCGCTCGAAGCGGTTGAGGGTGCCCATCACGACTACGAATTCACTTGCCTTGCGATAGCGCTTCTTTGAGGAGCTGCGGATGAAGTTGGATGAACCCCATGATCCAATTAGTTACAATAGGTCTCTCTCTACAGGCTCCCAAGAGTTTTCGTTCTATATATGCCTATGGTTTCTCTGTATATGTTCCCTTTATATCCCATGGCTGATACGGATAAAAAAGGGGAAATACGGCTCTTATCTCCCATAGACTTTCCATCCACTCCAAATGCTTCTAGTCTATACATGTGAATACGCACCTAAGGAATGCAGTTTGATATCATAAGGTACTCCCTCTCCCCCCATCTCTCTCGCCATAGATACTATACTGTTTCTATCTTTATAGTTCCCATAGTGCTTTAGTTAATATTCCACAGTTTCTCTTTCCTCTACATGCATATATCCGGATAAACAAGACTTTATCCCCTAGTTCCTCCTTTTACTCACTTGAACAAACAGTGGGCAGCAGTTAGGACCTTGTTGGGCCCTATCAAAGAGCCTCCGCAGATGTGGCCGCTGCCAAAGTTGCGATCGTTCTTCTTTAGCCTGATGGATACCATATGCTTCGTGTCTGCTACGCTGGCCAGAGTTCCGTTGATAATGCGCGATTCAGGCACCTGAGCGTCTGTAAAAGAACCTTTTTAGTAGCTGCAAATGAGAGAGGGGCAGAGAGTGAAAGTGAAGGGGAGGGAGTGTCGAATGCGCACTTGACAACTCTTGTAATCAAAAAGTTTGCTCCCCTCTCGCCCGTCCACTAGAAAAGTGGGGACGCCTTTGGCCTTGCCGCCGTATCTATTACGCTTGTTTTTTCTTTACGTCAATTTCCGCTCTGTCACAGTGGCAAGACACGACACAGCCGATGATTAACAACCACGGCATGCATTTATCTACGAACGTCGAAGTCTGAATGCCCTTGGGTAGGTATGGGGGCCCTAACTCTGTATTGCTTTATATATTTGGTTACCACCCAATAATGTAGTGAAGGATGCGGATAAGTCGGAAGGGTAGCCGGATAAGTTGTACAGACAGATGGATGTCCATATATCAGTAGAGATCTGTAGAGATATTACCACTTACTCTTCTTAGCGTAAGCTATATACATAGGTCATATACCTCCGTCAAATTTAGTATCGTTCCCTTCGCTATATCTATGTATATACGTATATGTCTAAATTTAGATGTACATCAATATCTTCCCTTACTTTCTCTCCCTCTTGTTCTCATAGATAAACAATACTCAATATTATTTTACTATTACAACGTTAGTTTACAATAGATCGTTCCGATAACATATGTATGTATATATAATAAAGATTTCGTCTGTTGATAACATTATCTTTATATGCAGCATATAAATGATTATTATAAAATTCAGATATTTCCACAGTCAAATAAGAAATCAAAAACAATTTTTACAACACTTGCCGGTCTATGGCTAAGCCATTAGAATAGAATGAGAAAGCAATAGAGAGTTAGAGATTACGCTTTTCCTAGAATAAAATGACTAGCTCATCAAAGTTTTTGAAAGCGCACATTAAATTAAGAACATAGAGAAAATATGGCAGAGAACAAGATAAGAAATAAGCCTAGTGTGAATTTTTCTGTCTCTCTTGGAGAGCGTGGAGAGTTAGTTGAAGGAAGAGAGAGTAAGAAATAAAGGAAGAAAGAGATTATCAATTTTTGATAAATGCAAGCGATACTCTCACAGGAAGATCCTAGAATCCCATGAATGAAATATGTATATCTATTTATAGGGAAGTATGTATGTATGAGTGGGTGCGTATGTGATTCTTAGAATTGTTTATCTTACAAATTTCTCCAGAAATAACTAGCCAACAGCAAATATAAAGGAGACCACGCATTATAACGTTTAGACCAACGTGGACAATAAAAAAAAAAAGAAAACAAAAAAAAAAAAAAAAAAAAAAAAAAAAAAATTAAAAAAAAAATTTKGGGCCCSCCCCCTTTTTTTTTTTTTTTTTTTTTTGTTATTGTTTGTGTCACAACCGAATTTAGTCAACGCGCAGCTTGAACTGAATATTCAATGGCAATCGACAGCGGCAACGATTTGTGCTCCAATTGGCAATTGTTTTTTTACTATCAGTAAAATTATGACAGAGGTCAGATAAGAAAAAGAGTTAGAGTAAGAGAGAGATAGAGGCAGAACATGGTTTTATGACGCATACCTATACCAACTATATATCAAACATAAAATATCAAATAGATCAAAGTTGGAATCGTATTTTGTGAATTGTATTTCTTTTGTAAAACTTTTTGCACTTACAGTAAATATTTGAATATTTGTGTATAAATAGATATGTTTAAATTGAAGATAATCAGTAAATATATGTATAATCGAGACACAGATCTATAGATACAATCAATGTAAATAGAGATAAATGCACAAGTTGTATGACTTCGAATCTGATTTGATAGACGAATTGGACAGATTTACAATGTATATATAATATTTATATATATAGACCTAAATATGGACGGTTGTTGGACTGATATAACTAATTATACAAGTTTGCACTACAAATTCCAAAAGGCACTTAGTTTATATTAGAAAAAAAAAAATAGAAGAGATTCAGTGTGCAGAAAACGTTCTGCTTGGACGGCGTTTCGAAATGTTTGTTGTAAATGGAATTGAATTGAAGTCGAGTTGCGTTAAGTTGAATACAAAGCTTCTGCATATGGTTGATAACTATATGTAGCCCTGCAGGCTGCGCGATTGGCTATGGTGATGACGCGGTGGCTGATAGCCAGGCTCCTGCATTTCCATCTGCATCACCAGATTCTTTTGCTCGCCGCGTGCCTCGTAGGCCTGACGGGCCTCGCGCTGCAGAATGAGAGCAGCCAGGCCCAATAGCATGAAGGTGACCACGGCCAAGGCGTACGACCAGCCAAGCACATTGAATTTCGGATACATCAGCCAATCGCGTCGATAAGCACAGCCGCCAAAGATGCAAACGGCCAAGAACATGAACAGCGCTGCAATAGGCAACAGTAAATCTATGTACACATATAGGAACACGATCTACTTACAGGACACGGCTGTGCCTATGTAGGACAAGCGTACGAGCAGCCATTCGTACTGCAGCACAGGCTTCAAGGGCAAGCGAGTGATGGTGAGCGAGAGCAGCGTCAGTACAGTGAAGACTATGATGAACGACATTGTTACAAAGCCCTGCACGGCCATCAGCCAACCAGGCAGCAGATATTCACGTATCACATAATAATCCTAGAGCAATCGAGAACAATTTGTGCATTAGTACAGATAAGAGATCAGAACTCCTAGATGGACATAAGACCACATTAAGTATTATGCGATCTATTGTATCATAGAAGTCAAGTGCAACAAGTGCTACGCTTGGTATACTTAGAACTTAATAGAGCAGTTTAAGGATCTAAGGATCAGTTTAGAACAGCACTTGTAGAGCCGTTTATGAGCAACAGCTCTATACTCATTTAGCTTCAATAGCAAAATTTAATACATCTATCAAATTAAGTTCAGTGGAGCTACTTACATGCGAGAATATCAAATGGCAGCCTGTGAACTGCTTGGGGAATTGGTAATTCGGATAGACAAAGTTCTTGAAACAGTATTGCCAGAGGCCCATGTTTTTGAAGCTGCTGCGTGTCTCCTCATACGATTCGATCCAATACGGTGAGCAGAAGGACATCATCAATACAAAGAAGCTGGCAAAGGTGACAATTGCTCCAAATACGACTCCATCTGCAGGCACACACAAACACATGCAAATACAGTTATTTGTTCAGCTATAAACAACAAACGTTGGCTGCGTCACTCACTTGTCGCACGCGGGTAGTCGCCCTTCTCCACGCTTGTGTCGGTGGTGTCCTGCGACTGCTGTTTGCCCAAATTGCGCATTGCGAAGGCACTTTATTTACAATATGAAAAAAAAACTAGCTTTACAAACTATAAACAACTGAAAAACAAATTAGTTCGTTGCACACACCCAACTGCAAGGTGGGGCTAGGGATGACAAAAGTGAAGCGATGCTTACGATAATAGCGATACTAGCGATAATACCCGCCGTATAGAAGTTGAAGATTGTAATGGCGTTTTTCAGATTAGACACTTTTCATATAAAAGTTGTATTCAAATTGATTTAAAAAAATAATTATGCACCTCATATACGAAAAGTTGAAGTAAGGTAGTACATGTTTAAATAATCAATTGCTTATGCGATGTTTAATCTACCGATCCCACTAGATATTTATTGTTTTATCGATATTCAGTATATTTCTTGTTCTTTGTTTTCTCAGATCCACTGGCCACACTTTATTCTAGTTTACCAGTAGTTTATCTTCCTTATTTTATTAAAGCTAATATTTACAATAACAAACAAGTAAAACACAATTAAATAACTTGATCCACTTCATGGTGCTCCAAGTGTTTCATATAAGCCAAAAAACATGTCCAGCACAAGCTGCAGACACTAATAAAAGGCACACGGTTCCGTTCAGGTATCAAAGAAAAGTTGATGGTGGCTACCAAAGGCCAAACGGCTAAGGCGACCTGATTGGTATAAAAAAAGATATATTTATATGGTAATAAATAATTATTGGAATAAATACCTTATAGGTGGGCAGAAACTTTTTGCCAACCTCGGCGACAGCTTCTTGCACCGTCTTTGACTCCAGCAAGCTCATGATGAAATAGAAGCAGGTCATTGCGGCGGGCGTATACGAAATGGTCTCCACGGCGGCTTTAATAACGCCATAGCGTAGCGAAGTGTGTGGCCACATAGCACTGGAGATCTGTGAGGGAAAACCGATATACATAGAAATCGGCAATGTAACTGCTGAGTTACCTTCACCCAGCCATAGAGCGTGGGCGCCACAAACAATCCACCGTACATGCTGAAGCGAAAGACGCGCCACCAGTCGTAATTGCCTGCATCGAAAACATATCCAGTTAAGACATAGATATATATTAGGCGTATATGTGCGAAACTCACCCCAACGCTTGCCCTCAAATGTCTGCTGTATTAGGCTGCCCGTGGGCCAGATCAAGCTATACGATATCATACCACGCGCAATGGGATATCGCACGATGAAGCTCTTCAGCTGTTGCCACAGCACTGAGGAAGCCATCTCCCTGCCTGTGTGTGAGTGAATGCGTAATTAATGTAAACACATGTTAATCAATTCACGCTTTCAGCTTGCAGAAACCCAAAGGCCAATTGACCTACTAGCATGCGGGCTTACTAGTTTAGCGTAAAAGCCCCGCTGGGAGACGGCTTAAATAAATGCAATGGCTGTCTGCCAAGCTTTAATCAAATAACATGGCACGCCTTTGGTGTACACTGTCTCTAATTGTGATTGGATTGCTGCTCAGCGGAGAGGCTACAGGAGAAGCAGGAGCAGGAGAAGAGCTGCAAGGTGGCCACGGCAATGTTTCCAATGGAGAAGTAGCAGAAGGAGAGAAACATGATAAGGCAGTAGAAGGAGCGCCAGAAGATCAGCAGGATGGCAAGATAGTGAATGGCACGCTAGCTGCCCAAGGCGAGTTTCCCTATATCGTAAGAAAATCCAATGAATTATCAGAGGAGTTCTGTTCACACACTCTCTTCCTCTTCAGTTGTCACTGCGCCGTGCCAAAACGGGCGCGCACTCTTGTGGAGCGACATTGTTGAACTCGCGCTGGGTGCTGACAGCGGCGCATTGTGTGCGTGGCTCGAAGCCGGAGCAGTTGAATCTGCAGTATGGTAGCAATCAAATTGACCGCAATGCCAGCCAGCTGGCCTGGATAGCGGCCATACACGTGCATCCCGGGTACGAGCCGGAGGACAAGTACATACATGACATAGCGCTGCTGCAGCTAAAGGTGCCCATCCTCTATAGCCGTAGTGTGCAGCCTGTCCGGCTGCCCGAGCCACTGCAGCAAATAGAAGAGAATAGCAGCGCCGTGCTCGCTGGCTGGGGCTTGAATGCGGTTCGTAATCAGCATCATCACCTCATGATCTCGTTCCCTAACCACCAATTCCTTCTTTCCACTTTGCAGACTGGAGGCACGCTTCAAGTGAAGCTGCAGAAGGCGCAGCTGCACGTATTCAGCGACGAGGAGTGCAGTCGGCGTCATCAGACGCAGCTGCATCGGAGCCAGCTCTGCGCTGGCCTGCCCGAGGGCTGGAAGGGTCAGTGCAGTGGCGATTCGGGTGGCCCACTGCTGTTGCCCGCCTTGGACACCCAAATCGGCATCGTCTCATGGAGTGTGAAGCCCTGCACACGTCCACCCTACCCGGGTGTCTTTACCGAAGTCTCCGCCTACGTTGATTGGATACGGCAGACAGTGGGTCGGCATGACCCACAGCATTCACGGCTCTGGATTGGCAACCTGATTGTGGCACGCGAGCCACCTCCACTCGACACCAATTAACACGTTTGTACTTAAATGCATTTTATTCACCTAAACAACAATTTGGTCTAAATTAAAAACAAACCCTTTTATATACAATAGAATAGCAAAGTCTTGAATCGGTCTACAGCAACAGCAGCAGCTGTCTACATTTGGTCTCCAGCAGCTGCACCTGCTTCTAGCTGTCTTCTGCTCCAAGCGGAAGACAGTCTACTCCTAATCCTGCCCTTATATATGGAATAACAAGTAAAAATGCCAGAGCTGCTTGGGTTCCTAAATGAAAACAAGGACCGCATCCTGTTTGGTCTCTGATAGCTGCTGCTGCTGTCTCCCTAGCCTCATCTGCATCTCCTGCCTTCCCTGTCGCTGCTGCACTGGGTCAACTTCTTCGCGTGCTTCCTCTCTTCTATGATAAAAAAACAGAACAGCTATATAAGCAGTTCGATCTCTTTTGGCTGAGGATGCTTTCCCTGCTCTCTATCCTGTACCTGTTCGTGTTCCGGCTCCATTGCTTGCGTTTTCATGTATGCCAAGAATATAGTCCAAAGAAGGCTGCAAAAGCTGACGAAGATAACGCGATTGTGCTCCGGCACTAGCGAAAAGTTAATGGTCTGTATAATGGGCCAACAACAGACGCCCACCTGTCAAGGATGAAGCCAAGTTAGATACTGACTACTTGCCGCTACGGCCTCAAAGCCAGCTAACCTTGTATGTGGGCAGGGCCTTCTCCTTGGTCTCGGCAACGGCTTGCTGAAAGGTCTTCAGCTCCAACAGGCTCATGCCCATGAAGAAGCTAACGCAGGCAAAGGGGCCATAGGACAGTTGCTCCGTTGCGGCCTGGAATGTTCAGTTAAGGAGTTTGGCAACCTGTCAGCCATGTCGATCCGGCAGCACTCTTACTCACCTTGAGCAGGCCAATGCGCAGATTCGTCTGCGGCCACATGGCACTGGTGAGGCGCACCCAGCCATAGAGGGTGGGCGCCACATAGAGGCTGCCAAACAGACTGAAGCGAAGCGCACGTGCCCAATCGTATGTCTCTGGGAAGGGAAGGGAAGGAATATTGGAATTGGATATTGGATAATAGGTAATGGACATTGGATTTATCTTGGAGCAATCCCTTGTGGACTTACTGAAATTGCGTCCCTCTATTGTCTGCTGGATGAGGCTGCCCGTGGGCCACAGCAAGGCATAGGTCATCATGCCCTTGGCCATGGGGTGAATTTTTGACAACAGTTTAGCCGGCATTTAATCAGTCTAAACACAAACTAAACTAAGGAGCAGGCACTGGGGAGCAAAAGCGTTAAATAGACGTTGGCAAGGCAAAGGCAAAGACAACGGCGAGGTCGACGTCGACGGCGACTACATTGACACACACACATCAATATAAACAATATATCATGGCTAATTGAGCATATGGCACATAATTATACCCTTCCCTCGTTAAGATATGTCAAGGCCGAAACATTGGGCTCTGAGAGGAGCCGGACAGGCTTTATTCATGAATTCTACTTGTACTTTTTTCTTTCGCTTTCCATTGTTTCTGAAAGCTGGCGCGAATTTTGATCTTGCAGTTTTGTAATAATTGATAATGTATATACATATGTATGTATGCATGCATAAATAGACATTACATTGAACTATGTATGTATATATGCACAAATATGTATACTATATACAAAAATATCCCCCTTTATACTACAGATGCACATATGCATATGTACATATGTATGTGTGCATGTGTATAATGAAAAGCGTGCATGCAATTGACCCCTGGGCCTCGCGTGCCGAAGCCTGCGGTATTGAGTTGTACTTGCGTTTTTGTTTGTTTTTGTGTTTGCTTTTGCTTTTGCTTTTGGCTTTGGCTTTGGCTTTGCTGTGCTGTCAGCTGTTTCGTGAAGGCAGGCGCGCAATTTGATGCTGCACTTATTCTCACTGTATCTGAACTTAAATTTGTTAACAAATTTATATATATTTGCGACCAAATGTCACTATGGTTGCACGCATACTGAAAGCTACAAATAGTTCGCGACCAAAAAAAATTAAATAATACAATTGTCATTGAAAATGCATTTTGTTGCACGATCGTGCAAAAGCTTTTCCGTTTCCTCAATTTTTTGGCAGTTGACAGTTGGGGACGGACGTAGCGGATGTCAAGGGTGTGTGAATACACTGTAATAGAAATTCGTATGTGTCAAAAAATAAAATGATACAATATGGCCAAAGTCTTAAGCAAATTTCCTACCGGGAAACTTGCTTATTTATTAATGCTGCCTTTTAGGAAATTGGCGAAGCGCACTTATGTACATATGCATGTTCATATGGGGATGTTGCTATTTATATATGTATATGGATATGTGTATATGTAGGTATGTGTGTGTGTGAGTGTGTGTGCAATTCAATGGATAAAATTGCCATAAATTATTATTAAACTTGTTATGCATATGCACACAAGTAGAAATGCACATATTAAAGTGCTCGATTTCAGCACATCAAATTTGCTAACGGGGCGGCACTTTGCCTGTGTCATAACAAACGTTACGCATGCACCCAGTCACACTTACGCACAGCTAATACGTGTGTTTATGTATTTGTATGCTGCTCTGCAGATTTATGCGAATCGGCATTTACAAGCGCGATAAGCTGCAGATAAGTTATATGTGTGTATCTATGTAGAAAAGCCTTGGCCGTCGTGTTGCCACCTTGTAAAACGCGTACTCACATATGTAAGCGAACACACACACATGCGTATGCTTATGTGTGTTTTGCTTAAGTTAGAAATGAATTAAACTTATTGATATGCTAGTTTTTAGTACTATGTGCATAGGACGCCAGAGACGCCAGGACGTCGCTGCTGCGCTGCTTACTGCAATGAACTAAATAACAAAAATGTTTTGCGTCAGCTGTGTGCGCGTGCTGATGGCTGAAAGCTGCGAGAGCTTTTGAAGCCCTCTACGTCTGTGTGTGTGTAATGATGAACTAAATAACTAAATTGAGTGGATTGATAGCTGAAAGCTCCACAAATTTTGGTGATCTAAACGGTTGGATACCTTACAAGCATGATCTAAATTGTTGCGACCGTTTTTAATACTAAATAATTGGTCATATCGGATATGTAGACTAAATGTGACCGTTATATTTAAAATGTCCAAGATATTTTAATAACACGCATTCGTTTTAGTGTATTGGGGATCGAGCAAGAGGAACCAAGCATCAGTTAGCATCGCCTCCTTTTACATCCTGCACATCGTGCGTTGTGCTCTGAACAGCGGCCACCTGTTTATTGAAGACAAAAGTGTGATATGTTTTTGCCAAGGCAGCGCACTTCAACGGCTCCTTGCCGTACTGGCGATAGCAGCTTATCAATTGCTTTTCCATTTTATCGATATCTGCCGAGCATTCGTTGGCCTTGGCCCATTTAATTGGCTGTCCGAACAAATTGTGCACACGATCTAATGTTTTAGTAAATTGTGCCTCCTCAATTTCAGTTGAGCGCCGTGCCCACGATGAAGATATTTCCATCTGCTTTTGGTGATAAGCTTGCATCTCATCGCTGCTGCTCGTTCCAGCTGCATCTCCAGCAGCTGCACCTTTACAATTACATTGCTCACAGGTGGAAGCAACGGATACTTGAACTGGATTTGTAACGGCAACGGGCCCCTTTTCTGCCTTGGTTGCCTTCTCGACGCGCTCCAAAACTTCCCGGCTGATTTGAAATGGTGATGTATTTGGTATTTGCACAGTTTGTGGTTTGCTATTGTTGGCGCCCATATCGAAACTTATTCAAACAAAAAAATTGGTACAAATATATCGTGCGCGATTCGTAAAGAAATTTTTAGTTTTCATAAAAATTGAATATATATATAATATTATAAGTCTGATAACTCAAATTGAATTTTAAATACATGCAGTCAGTATATTATTTTTGCGTCAGGGCATACTTTTGCTTTGAAATATAAATATATAGATCGATATAACTAAAATATATCGATTGGTCACCGCAATTCAAGTACAAGCAAAAACTGAACGATTATAAAGTACAATTTTAATTGGCATACAGCAAATTTACAAATGCATTTTTTTACTATTATTTATATAAAACTATCTTTATATCACGAATAAATATATACACTCTTATATCTGTATACATATATATAGGGAGGGGGTGATCAGTCAAAGTGGAATTGTAAAATATTCATAGCAATTCACTTTCGATTCTCAGTAAATAAAAATATATTTTTTAAAATAGATACATCGATACGCGTAATATTAATCGATAGAGATCGCGATTTGTACACATGCAACATTGCTGTTTCCCCATAGCGCATCAACCAAACATTAATTTCGCTTATTGTTGCCTGTGTTAAGAAACTCATTCAAAATGCACGAAGAAGAAACAGCAGAGCGTCCAGGTAAATAAATAAAGTGKTTTTATCAATTCGTTTTATATGTACATAAGTCCTCTTAGTGTCGTCCAGCCAATTGTTTCGACGGTTTCTGCAATGCATGGAAGATGGCCAAATACGCAGGGAGCTGTCCGACGATTGTATTTTATCTTTTCTCGGACGCTGCGTAAAGGGCGCTGGACCTGTATCAAGTTATATGCGCGCACAACTCGTAGGACGCTATAATCATATGGAGTTTTTGGATGCGCGGCAATGTAATGAATCAGAGGAATCCGCGCTCAAAGAGCGCTTCAGACGTAGCTTTCAATTGCTGCGCAGTCGATTTAAGCAGCCAGAAGTGTTGCCCACATCGATGCATTTGCGTGCTGAAAGCGACGAAGAGGTAGAAGAGGAGGAGGAGACTGCAAGTGCAAGCTGTGTCAAGCAATTGGTAACACCCCCGCGCTCTTCTGCACCGGCTGACGGCATCGAGTTGATGCAGTGCATCACAGCCAGCGGATCACTGCAGGCATCGCATAAGCATAGCGACGGCGGCATTGAGCTAAGCGAAAACTGCAAGATGTCATTAACGCTAGGCTATCGTGGCAATACACTTGGACACAAAGATGATACCTCCAGTGATATTTGCCTGATTGTCTACGAGAAGGTGAGGCTTAGGACTCCCGCCGTGCAACGTCATTCGCGGATGCGAAGCGCACGAAATGTATTAACCGACGATGAAGGCGAGGTGCCGGCACCTCGGAGCGTCCGTCGAACGCTCTTCAGCAACACCGATGACTGCGATGAAGATGCAGTGCAGCCGGCCATAGATGATAGTTCACCTCTTCTGCTGCCGCGCAAGCGCCAACATAAGGGCGATTCGAGTGCGAGGAAAACCAAACGCTCAAATGTACTTGGCGGTATGCGCTTTTAGGTTTGTTCCATATTGGATTCATCGATAATTCGTCGGAATTAGCATTAGCTCGCAGCGTACCAAACGTAATTATATAATTCAAGTGGCGCCCATTTTGGATGTTGCTTGCGAAGACTGAGTCCACCCGGAAAGATTTTACATATATTAACAAATGATGTTGTGTACGATGGACTGTTAGCGTACTAAGTTACTTCAAACATATACACTTACTATGTATATTAATTATATTTTTGTAATTTATTAGGTGTTATAATAAAATTCAAATATATCCAAGCGATTGACAGATTGATCTCTTTGTATATCTTTGGCAAATAGCTATTACAGAATTTTTAATTAGTATTCAAGCATCCAATTTGAAACGTTCGACATTGTTGTTCGTTACATAGCAAAATATTTTTAACAATCATGATCCTGTTTTGATCTCTTGCGGTTGAAATTGAAATGCAACCGTTTGATCGATGATATATCCACACTCAAACTATCGATACTCATTGAGCAACTCTGTAAATTGAAAGTGTGCTTGTCTTTGTTTTCGTATTGTCACTAACCAGAGAACACATAGACCGGACAAGTAGTGTAAAGCGTTTTGCACACTTTTTTTCGGGAGTTATCTCCCAGACACTTCGTATTTGCTCGGCTCCTCACTTTTTGGGTTCGGGCTACGAAAAAATACGAAAGCACAATCATTTCGCTTCATGCGCTCGACCGAGATGGTCGACTGTTGAACAAAAGATCCCTCTGCGCTGAATGTTTCCCTTGCTCTCTCTCTCTCACGATGCTCTCTGCTCTCTCAAATATGTATATGTATGTATGCATGTGAGCACAAGCAGCGCTCACAAATTGAAATTTCTTCGCNACATATTTGAGAGAGCAGAGAGCATCGTGAGAGAGAGAGAGCAAGGGAAACATTCAGCGCAGAGGGATCTTTTGTTCAACAGTCGACCATCTCGGTCGAGCGCATGAAGCGAAATGATTGTGCTTTCGTATTTTTTCGTAGCCCGAACCCAAAAAGTGAGGAGCCGAGCAAATACGAAGTGTCTGGGAGATAACTCCCGAAAAAAAGTGTGCAAAACGCTTTACACTACTTGTCCGGTCTATGTGTTCTCTGGTTAGTGGTATTGTTTGAATTTTTAGCGACGCGTTATACTTATCCAGTAATATGGCTAATATAAGTAATAACGAATACAAGAAGACCGATTTCGACTGGAACGAAATAAGCGTTGGCGATTATAATTTAGATCATTCGCAAAACTTCTTTGGTATGTACATAAAACTTACATACAATTTACAGTTAACTCAACAAAAAAAAAAAAAAATGCGCCATTTTAGCAGCTGCTTCTTCAAACAAGGCGAATGCGCTGGGTGATACAATAGATTTTATGGATAATTATAATAATTCGAAGAGTGGAAATTTGAATTGCGACTGGAATGAGCCCAAGACGGCCGACTATAAAATGGAATATTCAAACGATTTGAGCGGTATGACGAATTAAGGTGGTTCAATTTACAGTCAATGTTGTAATTCATATAAAATCATTTGTTTAGCGCTAGCTTCCACTTCCAACAAGGAAAACATGGGCGATCAACTGAACTGGAACAATGAGAAGATGACGCGGGAGCAACAGGATAGATCGCTTCGCGAGAATGCGCTACAGGATAAACCAGTTTGTGATCAGAATTTAAATGTAGAGGATATAGTAAAGCTGAGAACTATTGAAGGGCTTAGCGAGAATGGGCCAGAGGATAAATCAGCTTGTGATCCGTATTTAAATGAAGGGAATACGAGCGATGGTAAAGCTGAACAAGAGGAGAAAGAGGATCAATCCGCATCTTATCAAAACTTGAATGAAGATTATATAGTACACATTGAATCTGAGCTTCAGTTACAGCTGCAATTGGATTTGTCAACAGATTCCCATCAAGCCGAAGGAGACAAAGTGGAATCGTTGCCGATTCCCAAACAAGCAGAATCAATAAGTGACCAGGAGATGGAGGTGAATGAGATACTTGGACTGAAGCCCAGGCTGAAACTCAACTGGACACCCAAACCGAAAAGTCAAAGCGAGCCAGTGTCTGCCGGAAAGGCGCCCAGGGTTTACGAATGCAAGGATATTTATCAGATGAAGCGGGAGATGATTATGCGCCAGCGAGAGGAAGAGGAGCGTAAGGCGCGTGAGTTCCACAGCAAACCGGTGCCAAATTTTAAGGCATTGCACAAACGTTTGGCGGACACAATAGTTACCCATAAGATAACAGTACCTGTGACGCCAGAAACATTAAAGCATTCCTACGAGCATTTGCAGCGGCGAAAACGCAGGGAAGAGGTAAGACTCAAATGCACAAATGTTGATATTGTTATCATAAAGCATCTATTCAATTCTCTCGCCAAGAATTCAAAATTGTTGCAACAGGAACATGACAATGCCAGAAATTTACGAAGAGCTGGCCTCGCCGAAGTGAAGCCATTTCAGTTGCGTGCCGATCAGCGCGTGCGCGAACGGCGCGAGTACAATAATGTTGTTCAGTGTAATCTGGATGAGAAAAAGAAACAGGTAAATATTGAGCTGTTGGTATCAAAATTAAATGAAAATTGTATGGGCTGGTCACACACTATCACTGCACAGTGTTGCATGTTGTGTGCAGTGCAACACTGCGATAATTATGCATTAGTGCTCAACACTGCGTTAACATAGCTATGCAGCGACTCATTGTTGCGTTAGCAGCTGCCATTCAGCAGATGAGGCGAAATTGAAGTTTTGAGCAACTCAGTTTTAATTTGATCGCTAGTTGAGTAAAAAATCAGAAGAAGAAAAGTCAACACACTACATGAGTTGAAGTAGGCTCTCTAAGTGAAACCATACAGAAAGAAGAGAAACACAAATAAAAAAAAAAAGCAAAAAATTATATATTAATATAGTCGTGTACTACTGCATATTGTGCACATATGTATGTATGCATACTTGTTGTTTGTGTGTGGTGTGAGTCATGACGTTTCGGTAAACGGACGGCGTAGAAAACAGTTATATTGTGCACATATATATTCATATATATATTGCATAAAGGGCGCAACGCGTGACTAAAAAAAAAAGGAAATTTCGGTAGAAAAGAAACGAAGCACAAAACTCGACATTATAGTAAAAAGGACACAAAGCAGCTGCTGCGCCCATATATATGAACACACACACAGTCACATACACATACTTGGAGCAACATCAACAACAACAAAAACAACATTAGTTGTCGCCGCCGCCGTCGTCGTCACAGTTGAAGTACGCCACGGCCAGTGAAGCAACAGTCTGTAGAAAAAAGAGAAAAAAAAAAACTGTAAACTGTAAACAAAGCTTTTGGCCAAACGGATAGGTGGCGCCACTTTCGCTGCAGCAAGCAAGAGAAAAGAAGCAAAATGGTTGATCGTCTCGTTAACTCGGAATTGAACACCCGTCGCATTGCCTCCGTCGAGAACTGCTTTGGTAGCTCCGGTGTGCCGCTGGCGATACCCGGACGTGTTCTAGTCGGCGAAGGTGTTCTGACCAAAATGTGCCGCAAACGTCCAAAGTCGCGGCAATTCTTTCTTTTCAACGACATACTGGTTTATGGCAACATTGTGATTGGCAAGAAAAAGTACAACAAGCAGCATATAATGCCGCTCGAGGAGGTTTCCCTGGACTCGATACCCGACAACCAGCAGTACCGCAATGGCTGGTACATACGCACCACGACGAAGTCCTTCGTCGTCTATGCCGCCACCAGCACAGAGAAGCAGGAATGGATGGCCCATATAAACAAATGCGTGGAGGATCTGTTGCGCAAGAGCGGTAAGAAACCGCCGGGAAACCACGCCGCTGTTTGGGTGCCCGATGCCGAGGCCAGCGTCTGCATGCACTGCAAGAAGACGCAGTTTACATTTGTCCAGCGGCGTCATCATTGCCGAAACTGCGGCGCTGTCGTTTGCGCCGCTTGTTCCACTAAGAAGTTCCTCTTGCCCCAGCAAACTGGCAAAGCGCTGCGGGTGTGCGATGCTTGCTACGAACGCTTGCGCCACGCTCCCGATCCGGACGGCACCGTGGAGCAGCGGGCCTCGAAGCTAAACATAAGTGGGGCAGGGGACAGCTCGAATGACGATGATACCGACGAGGATCTGCCGGGCTCAGCTGAGGCGCATGATGAGCCACGCTTCTACGGCGACAACAGCATGTCTACGGCGGATGAGCAGACGGCTAATTCATCAGCGATTGCAGCAACGACAACAACAACACCTGCCACAGCCACACCCTCCGCCTCCGCCGCTGCCCCCGCTTCAGTCAATTGCTGAGCCTGAAGCCACAAATGCTGTGTATAACAGTTTTGGAAGAAAAACAAAACAGAATACGATGCTGGCAAACTGAATGCGAACTGGATTACTGGTACTACTCAAGAATCATATATATGCATATATGTATATGTATAGATAGAGGGGGAGTCATACGCACATTCATACACAGGGGGATATGCACACATACATATAGAGCTCTCTCTGTCCACGTCCATTGCGTATAAGAAAAAATTTGATATGATGATTCGCATACGTCTTTGCCTTGCCTTGCCTTGCTTTGCCTCGAATTCCATTTCAAGTTTTATGCTAATCTTATCAGCTTCAGTGGCTGCTGTTGCCGCTGTTGCTGTTGCTAGATAATTGTTATACACTGTTCAATGAGCGAACATTGAGTATATACATTTCCTGTGTCTGTATTAGAGATTGGGCTAAATAAGTATATGATGCATCATAACAGTTTATTTAGGGCATATAAAAGCACGGGTATAACTTTTTTAAACTGGCAAAATAGCGAAATCTAGCAAAAGATATGGTTCACATAACAGTTTACATATAACACTTTTTACACATAACAGCTTAAACAAATATGTCTAATAGCTTGCATATAGCAGCTGCCTCATATAACAGGTTAATAAAATATGTGTAACAACTCTCCCACGAAAACTCCCTTATCGAAGTCGCCTCACATCTCTAGCGAAATTGTGCTACAGCCGATCTATGTATATGTGATTTGTTTTTATCTTGCTTTCTTCCTGTCATATGCATATACATATGTACGTACGAAGCGAATTGGCACATGCACGCAGACGCACACATACTAATTGCTGTCACATGCTCTCTTGCGCGCTCTCTGTTTCTCAGCTTACTAACTGTTCCTTTCGGTTGGACTCCTTTGCAGTTCATGCATGCATAGAGCATGCAAGGCCACAGGCACATGCGCTATCTCGCTCGCACTGTATTGGTCAACACTCAAGCTTATTTTGCATATTGCATTTTGTTCTATTTGTTTGTAATCTGCACATTCATTCACACACAATATTACTACACGCGCTCACATACACGCACACACGTGCACCGACTCGCCCATCACATGCACTGTCTCTCTCTCACTCTGATGCATTGATATAGTTCTTTGTATTTCGTTCAACTCATTTGCATTGACACACAATACAAATGCAATCATAATTGTTACTCATAAATGAATATATACATACATATATAGAACTATGTTCCATGCCTGAGCCAGACCTAGCATCAGCTGATTACATGTTTTGTCCGCTGCCAGCAAAGCCAAAGTGCGCCAGAGCTGGAGCTAGAGTTCAAAGTTAATTTGCGTGCACAGAAACACCTGAAGGCAATACTCGGATAGGTTTTTTACTACAAATTCCTATTCTGTTAGTCAGATTCGTCCGAAACTAGATTGCCGTTTGCTTGTTGCCTTCTCAGAGCTTTCACTGTGCTTTGTACGGTTCGTTTCATTTCTGTGTTGTCTGTCTTTTGCCTTCAATGGATCACTTCAGGTGTTCACCACATGAATGATCCACCTAACTATTCGCTTTAATTGAGCGAGTAAACCGAAAGAGCAAAGTGCATAAAGTGAGTAATATATATATGCGTATATGTAGAACGGGTGGGGTGGAGCGGGATTGGAGAGCGGATGAAAGAAGAGGAGCTTTTGTACACTCCAGTTAATTAAAAAATACCATGATAGACAGACAGAGAGAGAGAGAGAGAGAGAGAGTAAGGACATTTCTCTACCTAAGTAACCTGATTTAAGTAAACTAATTAAATCCTTGTTCCGATTTCTACAATTATGATTTATCTCTTCTATTCTTCTAGCAAGACGAACAACGCAAGCAACGAGAAATGGAGGAAGTTAAGGAACTGCGCAAAATGACGGAATTTAAAGCTCGTCCAAATCCATTTAAATAACTAAATTACAATAAATAATAATT